GCCTAACGGGACAGGCTAAGGCTAGTCCTAGTGTAGGGGACCCGGTAGGTGCAGACATGGAAGGTCGCCCGCCGAAGAAGGCGAACCCGGACGCTTTGCGTCATCCAAATCCCGGCGCCAAAGCGCCCGGAGCATCTGCCGGCTCGGCCACAGCGCCGAAGGGCCCACCAGTGCCCGTTGCAGCAGGCCGGGGTACAATCCCTGTGAAGGCTGCGCCTCCCAACATTCCGAAGGCAGCTGTGCAGCCCAAGCCTCCACCACCTGGACATAGTCCAGAGGAGCGCTATGCAGCCACTGCCAGGCCGATCGACACCCGATACGGGTCGGGCGCAGACCCGCAACCTCGGAGCATAACACATCCGAAGATGGTGCTGCGCCAGAATGTTGCAACTGCGAGGTTCCATAATGACAAGCCTACCGACCCACATGGTCGAGACCTCGTACTTATCTCCAATTGCATCCATGGTCCATGGTTGGATACCCCTCGCCCAGGTACCGTGTATAATCCGGACCTGGTGTTGCAGCCCTTCTACGTCGGCTCGACGTCGCCGACGCTTATTGTCGATGTATTCACGTGGGGCACTGCAAAGGACGAGTGGGTGACTAAGATTTCGGAGGAGTGGACCGGTGATGCTCTATATAGACATCACGAGCAGATGCTCACCTATACGGTGACGACAGGCACCTCGAAGACGAGTTTTATGTTAATCTACGTCGATATGACGTGGCTTGAAGACTACGCCTGGGAGGCCATGAGCCCGTCTGAAAAGCAGGCGGCGGATGAGCAGCGTATGAAGAACCGGAACCACGTAGGCAGTCACCCAGATATATTGCTGGAGTATGCCAACCACGAGAACTTTGTCGAGAACGCAAGGTACGTTCTTAACAATATCAAGGATGCAATTGAGGCCGGCATCCAGCAGGTCGCTGTACACACAGTGTGCAAGGTCAACAGACATAGATCTGTTGGGGGCGGTATCCTACTTTTTGACATGATTCGCCGCCTCGAGGATACTTCCATCAGCCTCACTCATATGTGTGCAGCGTACTCGTGGCCCTTTATGGGCAGGCAGTCGTGCAAAGGCCAGTGCATGTATTGCCAGCATAAGACCCTTGACATAGTCAATCAGGTAGCACACATATGTGATGCATTTGCGCAGGCCGTCTTTAGAGACGGGACCGTCCGGGAGAATGCCACATTGGTGGTAGAGCCCGAGACAGCTCGCCCGACAGGGGTGAAGACATATTCCGAGCTTTTCAACGAGCAGCAGATCGCAGCCGGCAATGTGCAGACCCCTATAACGGGAGTCGGGCCACTCGATCAGCCTCCGAGGCCAGGAGAGACTGCCACTCAGGCCGCCACACGCATGGGATTGGCAGGCAAGACCCACACATCGTATGTGGCGAAGTATAACCCTGACAGCTTAACCGGTGCTATGAATCGCACCGCGAACGCGCCGAAAGGGGGGCCGGTGCTTTCTGTAACCTTCACTACCAACATGGGTCCGCCTCCTGAGGTTAAGGCCAAGGCTAGTGGCAGCAAGGCACCGCCAGCTACAAAGGCTGAGGCAGCAAGGCCGCCCATAGTGGCGAGTGATCCTCCCGTGAAGGCTGCACCATCCTCGTCTGCCACGGTGCGTGTTCTAGAAGCGCAGATCAAAGATCTGCAGGACGCCAACCATATGTTGGAGACCCAGACCGACGATCTCCGCAACACTCTACATGAGGTTCGCAGACAGCGTGACGAGGCGTGGGATGAGCTCGACGAAACGCGTCGAAGAGCAGAGCGAGCTGAGGATAAACTCGCTCGGGCCTTGGATGAGCGCTCCTCGAGAAGGCGAAGGCGAAGCTCATCGTCAGGCCGCGATCGACACCGATCGCGTGACCGTAATGACAGATCCTACGTGGACGAGCGCCGAGGCTCTGTCCGCGATCGCACACGCGATCGAGACCGCCGGGTACTTAGCAACCCGAGAGACCGCAGCGAGCCGCCGCAAGCTGCGAGGATATCCCGCTGAGGAACTAGGCGTGCTCGCCAGGACACAGCTCATGAGGCACCCGAACAACCAGGCCAGTTCCTGAGCCGGTGCCGACGGGCCCGTGCATCCTGACCATCCACCGCCAGGCCACAGAGCCGCAGGCAACCCTCCCGCAGAAGGAGGAGGCAAGGCGGGAGGCAAAGGCGCCCGGAGGATGACCCCGTATGACGAGCCAGATGAAGAATGGGACACTCCTGGGCCACGGGGACCTTTAAGGACCCCGCCTGCACCGCCGGAGCCACCGCTCCGAGAGCCGCATGGTCGCTACCCGGACAGGAGCGACCCGCATCGCCCCCTCACAAGACGTGAGGCGTATGACTATTTCCATCCCGACGAGCGCGAGATGTGGACGGATGGAGATTGGGCGAGGTTCCGCGTGGAAAATCCACGACCGCCCGGGCCAGGCCGAATCATAGAAATAGATTCGAGAGTGCTAGCCATCGATATAACCGGTGTGCCATTTGACGATAATTCAGGCTTAGGCTGGAACCGAAGCATAGACTTCGCGAGCTTTCCTGATGGTACCCTAACACAGAGATATTGAAGGATAAGCCTGCACCCGCACTCTGGGTAGGACCTTACAGTCCCGCATCCTTCAAAGCCGGTGATAAAACTCACCGAGACCTTTGCGAAAGGCATGACGTAAAGGTCACCTGCATCACAGAATGCACGTTGGCTACCTATGCACATACAGGGAAGCCAAAGGCCGTCAATGCAATCGGGTATTTATATACCTGTCACGAGAACCCAGCTGACTCAAGCTGGCGCTTCGAAGGGACGGTTTGTCCGCGGGGCACACTCCCGAACTCCATACCGCCGGAAATCGGCGAGGACGCAGAGCAACAGTGCCCCGGAACACCGCCTTCGAGGAGGGAGCGCACCTTATCTTGTGGTTGTTCCCCTTGGCATTTGCCTCTGACACCGAGCCAAAAGGGCTCGAGCACCATGAAGAGTGTCCTTTCCCGCACTTCCCGGACCCA